AAAGCCACCGATGATTAGAGACCTTGAATGACATGGCTCAAAATCGTTTGCAATGGCGTAGGTGCATCCACTCTTTGTGTCCTCTCAAATTCTAACTCTCTGAATTCACCATCATCTCCATCTTCTACTTTATAAACTTATCTCACTGGATCATTACTTACTTACTTACTTACGCCTGTTACTCCCAATGGAGCGTAGGCCGCTCACCAGTTTTCTCCAACCAACTCTGTCCTGGACTTCCCTCTCCAGTTCTGTCCAATGTTTGTTCATTCCTCTCATATCTTCCTCTATTTCTCGGCGTAGTGTGTTCCTTGGCCTTCCTCTTTTCCTTTTGCCTTGAGGGTTCCATGTGAGTGCTTGTCTCGTGACGCAGTTAGGTGCTTTTCGTAGTGTATGTCCTATCCACTTCCACCGCTTTTTCCTGATTTCCTGCTCCACTGGAATCTGACTTGTTCTCTCCCACAGTTCGTTGTTGCTGATAGTGTCTGGCCAACGAATACGAAGTATTTTGCGTAGACAGCTGTTAATAAACACTTGTACCTTCTGAATGATGGCTTTGGTAGTTCTCCATGTTTCCGCTCCATACAGTAGAACTGTCTTCACATTTGTATTGAAAATCCTGATTTTGGTGTTGAAAAATATCTGGAACTCCAAACAAATATCAATCAACACCAAAATCAGGATTTTCAATACAAATGTCAAGACAGTTCTACTGTATGGAGCGGAAACATGGAGAACTACCAAAGCCATCATTCAGAAGATACAAGTGTTTATTAACAGCTGTCTACGCAAAATACTTCGTATTCGTTGGCCAGACACTATCAGCAACAACGAACTGTGGGAGAGAACAAGTCAGATTCCAGTGGAGCAGGAAATCAGGAAAAAGCGGTGGAAGTGGATAGGACATACACTACGAAAAGCACCTAACTGCGTCACGAGACAAGCACTCACATGGAACCCTCAAGGCAAAAGGAAAAGAGGAAGGCCAAGGAACACACTACGCCGAGAAATAGAGAAAGATATGAGAGGAATGAACAAACATTGGACAGAACTGGAGAGGGAAGTCAAGGACAGAGTTGGTTGGAGAAAACTGGTGAGCGGCCTACGCTCCATTGGGAGTAACAGGCGTAAGTAAGTAAGTAAGTAATGATCCAGTGAGATAAGTTTATAAAGTAGAAGATGGAGATGATGGTGAATTCAGAGAGTTAGAATTTGAGAGGACACAAAGAGTGGATGCACCTACGCCATTGCAAACGATTTTGAGCCATGTCATTCAAGGTCTCTAATCATCGGTGGCTTTCATCTCACGGACCTCAACCAGATAGGCTACATCTACCAACATGACTCAGTCCACTTGTCAGTGACTTCATGGATTTCTGCCATGTTTTGGTTTTTCCACCCCTAGCTTTCTTCCAAACTATTCCTAATGTTTACGGCAATTTAGAACGATTAGATAAATGAGTATTTCAAAGAGCACATATTACTTTCTAATATTATGTAAACATTTTATTGATTAAAAACAAATGTTTTTGATAATCTGTCTATATTCCTAGTATGGAAAGAATAAATGGTTTTTGGAGAAAAAAACTATTTGTTTTCTTCATTTTCAGTAAAATTACAAATTAATCCTTCCTCGAGTTACAACTGTACTGATCTATTGATCATGATAATGATATAAATTGTCACGTATGAACCTTTTGACATTTTCATCAAACTTCTCAATCGTAGTCCTTTATACTTTAACTTTAGGAAATATATTAAGTCATCTGTATATATATATATATATATATATAGTTTTCTATCAGTTGAATGAATAACCGATTCCCTTGACTAAATAGCCTAGTTAATGAAGTTTTATCTTTGAAATTATTCAACTACCGAGCTTGAATCGAACAAATGGAACATGAACACTCATGTGTAGAGTGTTTCCCGGTAGGGAAGAAACACATTCTCCTTAAATTCTGTTACTTGACATTCTTCGTGAAAAGTAATGTGTAGCTGCTTGTGTAGATGAGAATTGTTATTTTATTGATGAATTAATTGGTCGGTTGGTTGTGTGGTGATATTAGCGGAGAAGACATGGCAGTATGCTGAAAAGATGATGATGATGATGTTGGTAGTTGCTATTTGTGTGTGTAGCGCCTGTTATTGGGAAGCAGGGTAAGTGTTGATTGACCGACTGATATGATATGATTTGATGTGATGTGGTGTTGTGTGGGTAGGTCAGTGAATTAGTTGGTGAGCAAGATGTAGCATTTTGATGATGATAACTTGCCCTCTATGATGAGTGATTAGGCTTTATCTGAGAAAGAAGTATGCAAGCTTGAATCGAACAAGTCAAACATGAACACTCATGTGTAAGGTGTTTCCAGGTGGGGAAGTAAATGCACTCTCTTTAAATTCTGCTACTTGACCATCTCTCTGAATAATATCCTTTAAGATTGTTCATCTGTTGTGTGAATCAAATGTTTAAATAGCGTTTCAATTGTACTCTATTGATTACATTGTAGCAGTAGCAATTCACAGTAACAAGATTTGTTATTTTTAATTCCAATACATTAAATTAATCTCTTGTTCATTTAACAGGAACATCAAGAATGCAGTGAATTGTTAATAAAACGAATGTTATCCTCTTAAATCAAATGATGATGATGATGATGATGATGATGATGATGATGATGATGATGATGATGATGATGATGATGATGATGATGATGATGATGATGATGATGATGATGATGATGATGATGATGATGATGATGATGATGATGATGATGATGATGATGATGATGATGATGATGATGATGATGATGATGATGATGATGATGATGATGATGATGATGATGATGATGATGATGATGATGATGATGATGATGATGATGATGATGATGATGATGATGATGATGATGATGATGATGATGATGATGATGATGATGATGATGATGATGATGATGATGATGATGATGATGATGATGATGATGATGATGATGATGATGATGATGATGATGATGATGATGATGATGATGATGATGATGATGATGATGATGATGATGATGATGATGATGATGATGATGATGATGATGATGATGATGATGATGATGATGATGATGATGATGATGATGATGATGATGATGATGATGATGATGATGATGATGATGATGATGATGATGATGATGATGATGATGATGATGATGATGATGATGATGATGATGATGATGATGATGATGATGATGATGATGATGATGATGATGATGATGATGATGATGATGATGATGATGATGATGATGATGATGATGATGATGATGATGATGATGATGATGATGATGATGATGATGATGATGATGATGATGATGATGATGATGATGATGATGATGATGATGATGATGATGATGATGATGATGATGATGATGATGATGATGATGATGATGATGATGATGATGATGATGATGATGATGATGATGATGATGATGATGATGATGATGATGATGATGATGATGATGATGATGATGATGATGATGATGATGATGATGATGATGATGATGATGATGATGATGATGATGATGATGATGATGATGATGATGATGATGATGATGATGATGATGATGATGATAGAAATCACATCTTAGCAAAATAAAAATCAGTCATAATTTGTTATCATGATTCATACTCTGACATTCTTCATTAATTTGAATAACTTATAATGACATCAAGAAGCACTAATTATCGAATGCCCTTAATTCTTGAATAAAATGTTTGTATGACAAACTAATCAAGCCTATATCTTTTAATATTTTTAAGTTAATATCATAGAACTACTTCGGATTCGCTGACTAGACACCATCAGCAACAATCTACTGTGGGAGAGAACAAACCAGATTCCGGAGGAGATGGAAATCAGGAAGAAGCGATGGAAGTGGATAGGATACACACTACGAAAAGCACCTAACTGCGACACAAGACAAGCCCTCACATATAACCCTCAAGGTCAAGGCCAAGGAACACATTACGCCGAGAAATAGAGAAAGACATGAGAAAAATAAACAGAAATTGGACAGAACTGGAAAGGGAAGCCCAGGAGAGAGTTGGTTGGAGAAAACTAGTCGGCGGCCTTTGCTCCATTGGGGGTAACAGGCGTGAGTAAGCAAGAAATTTTTATTCGATGATGATAATGTTTTAATTAAAAAAAATAATAAAAATAATCATAATTTACTATGACAATGAAAGATTTCCCATGATCTGTGAAATTTCTAAACTTTCATACTGACTGACCTATTGAATAATTCTTTCAGTATATAAGTGGATACAAAAGGAGCTTTTATTGTCGCATTCTGACTACTTAATAACAAACAGACATTATTAAATTAACATTCACACTTTATAGAAGACACAGTGAAAAAATATTTCTTCAGTTGACTAATACTCTTTATATCAAAGATAACCTTTAGCTATTGCCAAATAGAAACATAAAGTCAAACAAAATCATTTCGAAAAGTGTCAGACAATCGTCATTGTAGTTCCATGTCAAAATTTGTTCTGTTTTATTTTTTTTCCGAGAATTAAAAAAAATGACATCACTTCTCCCCTTTTACTCATAGTTTTGTCTCTCTCTCTCTCCGTCTTAAGTAAGCATCCTCTAACTTATTTAAGCACTGATTAAAACATTGTAATATTTTGAATATTTATATATTGTGACATATTTAAAATCATAGCATAGGAGATTGTTTCAGTTTCCTTTTGAAAAAAAATAAACAGAAAGAAATTTAAACGTCGTTCAATAACAACTTTCAATCTGTCACACCTTTATTGTTGTAATTGTCTATTATAAGTGTAATAGTGAAATAGTTAAAAACAGTAAGTTAAATTCAAGTTAGCTCAAATCGTATTCGTTAGGTATAAAAGTATTTTTATGATTCAATTACGAAATATATATATATATATATATATATATATATATATATATATATATACGACAAGAATAACAAATATCAACTTTAATTTACCATATTCATTGTACCAGCCATCGCTCCAGCAGCTCCACCTTCCAGTAGAACTAGGATAATCATCAGAACACTGAACTGAAAAGTAAATTATAGTAATAAATCAGAAGTAATATTAGCAAAGTAAAAACAATGTTTCCAACAGACTAATTACTAGGGGATGATAATTTATAGAATAGAAAAGATTGATAAGAGAATCTTAGATTTTAGGTGTGTTCACATTGTGAACATTTCGATCAAACAATTTATTAAACTCTCGATTAAAATACAAGTAAGCACTGTTCATCAAGTTGTTGATATTAAGCAACTTGCATTATAAGCAGAGATGCATAGTGCTTAACAGTGGAATCCTGGCCACACGTTTCATCCTCACTGACAATCATCAACCTCGGTGTCGGGGTTCATTCTGAGACTCCTATATAGTAAGTACTGTTAGCTTCAGATAACATCACATTACCCACTTAGTTATTGAATCCAGACAGCCCTTGGGAAGATTCAGTCTAACAATATAAATAAAATGAACTTGATTGCATTACACAAACCAGTGGCTATCTGAAGTCAGTAGATAAGGAGATGATACGATGAAGTTTGAAGAGTAATGTACTAGGTTTAAGTCCCGCAATGAACATTAACTCTAGGAGATATGTGCACCCACTTGAAGTGTTCCAATGAGGACGAGGCGTGCGTTATGGACTGCATTGCTGGCCACTATCCATTTCTGATTATAATGCTGGTGACCTAATGTCTATTTTGAGGCAATCCTCACAGGATGCACCTAAACCAAAGAAACTGATTGCAATCATAACTATAGATGAACTAACTATAATACTTTGAATCTTTTAGAAACGAATTTCTC